ATTGATTCTAAAAATTCATGATTGTATATTGATAAATTTAATCTTCGAGGTTTACGCATAGTAGGGTTTAAGTCATTATTGTGTTATTTAGATCGATTTGCAAACAAGAAACTGCTTAAATTTGCAGCTAATTGTAGCCTTAATATCACAATAAGAGATGTGAGACAATCGTTATGGCCTTTTACAGTAGCGTTAGTAAAATGTGTTTAATATTTATAAGCAATCATTTGATGAGATAATGAATGTGATTCTCTCTGTAGAAAGATTTAGAGGCTTCAAATAGATTTTCAGGACTGGATCCATCAATGTCATGTCGATGCTCATCTTATGCTGTCTTGCAACTCAGTTCCTATTGTCACATTGATCCTTAAAACATGAAGCAACCTTCATTATAATAAATGGAAACAGAAAAATCGAGTATTATAATTACTAGACAGAGCTTCCATGAATGCAGGATGTTGATAGGCTAGAATGGAAACCAAATGCCACTAGTTCAGATATCAATATACCGCTTTAACTAATACCAAAATGCTCTGAAAGTACAACAGGCTACGCTATTACGATCTATGTCCTACATCCACAACGAAAAACACTTACAAAACTTTATTTTAAGAACAGGTAAAAAGGACTTAAAGGGATTTAAGAGGGCTACTCAAGGACTAAAAGGGATTTAAGACTCTACTCTAACAAACCATTTTCTTTACTACCTACTTGTACAAACCATTTGTTTAATAAGATATTAATTAATATTTGCAATTTAGCATCACTTAAGTAGTTAAGTTATTGTGACTATTAATTGCCATTTTTGATGTCTTTATCATTATTTGTATACATTAGTTACAACTTTTGATTTAAGTTTAGGAGAAATGAATGTCCGTCACAATTTTCATTTTTTTGCTAAGATATTAATTGGTGTCTTTATCATTATTTGTACAGTAAATGTCTAATTTGGTAAAATTCCATTTCATCCACATCTCCTACTTTTAACTCTCTACAACTATCAACCGAGGGAAGTCCATCACCAAGTTCTGAAGGAAATTCAGTTCCTACATTAAATCAACCTAATGTTGTGGTTGAAAATAATGTGTCAAGTGAATGTACTTCATTAAAGCTAAAGCCGTATGGGAGCACTTTAAAAAAGAAAAGATCAACAATGAGCGAAAGACAATATGCAATCATTGCAACAAAAAAATCAATAGTGAATCTAAGAATGGGACAAGTCACTTGCTTGATCATTTGAAAAGGTGCAAGAAGCGAGTTCAAGTAGACATTCGACAACAAGTCTTAGTAGCTAATCAAAAGAAGTCAGATGGAAAATTGACAATAGGGGCTTTCTCATTTAATCAAGATGTGGCAAGGAAAGAGCTTTCGAAGATGATAATAATGTATGAATATCCTTTATCGATAGTGGATCATTCACATTTTAAAAAGTATTGTTCTAGTCTACAACCTATGTTTGAAATGCCTTCTCAAAAGACTATAAAACGTGATATTTTAGACTTATACGAAGAGGAGAAGGTAAAGATATTGTCAAAGTTAGAGGCTAATGAAGGAAGAATTGCTATAACAACTAACATGTGGACTTCATATCTCCAAAACAAAGGATATATGGTTGTTACTGCTCATTACATTGATAGCTCTTGGACTTTATAAAAGCGCATTATAAGGTATTTGTTTAAATATATTTATATAATTAGTTATGTTTCGATATGTTTAAACTAATTCATTTTATTTGTTGTTTAATTAGGTTTGAATATATACCAGCTCCACACACCACTAATGTCATTGCTTATAGTTTGATGAAATATTTCCTAAATTGGAATATTGATAGGAAAATCACATCTATTACAATTGATAATTGTAGTGTAAATGATGGTGTCATTAAGTTGTTGGTTGATAGGATAGGAGGTAATTCGTTGTTGCTTAACAAAACTTTTTCCACATGCATTGTTGTGCACATATATTGCATTTGATTGTTAAAGATGGATTAAATGTGATTGGAGATGGAATAGAAAGAATTTGTTAGAGTGTTCTTTTTTGGAGTGCTACTCCAAAAAGATGGGAAATATTTGAAGAGGAGATACAACAATTACGTATTTCAAATACAAAAAAGTTATGTTCTAATGTTAGAACATGATGGAATCTACCTTTTTGATACTCCAAACAACTTTATCTTATAAGGATTTTTTTGCTCATTATGTGCAGTTACATCGTGATCCTTTGTACAAGTACTTGCCAACTGATGATGATTGGGCTTTTGCATCGGTGATTTGTGATAAGCTGAATTTATTCTACGAGATCACGAAGGTTTTTCAGGTACAAAATTTACGACACCAAATCTTTATTTTCTGAGTATTTGTAGGATTAGGGTGGCATTGAATGAGTGGATTACACATAATAATATCATTATTTCAAGAATGACAAAATGCATGTTGGAGAAATTTGAGAAATATTGGAACGATATGAATGGTATCATGGGTGTTGCCACACTTTTAGACCCAGGGTACAAAACAACATTGTTGGAGTATTACTTTAAAAATATTTATGGGGTTACTGCTGAACATGAAGTTAAAAGTATTGTGCAACTATGTTAGGATTTGGTCATAGAGTATGAAGAAAAAATGATGTCCTCAAAGAATGAACCTCAACCCTTCAACATTGCATCTTTGGATAGTGTTCCAGTTGATTTGAGTAATCATGTGACTTTGATGCTTATGTTTCAAGGAAGAGACAAAAGAAAACAAAAATTAAATCTGAGTTAGACCGTTACATAGAAGTGGATGTTATTTATAGGATGTCAAACTTTAATATATTGACTTGGTGGAAGATAATTGGGCCACAATTTCCTATATTGCAAGCTATTGCAAGAGATTTATGTCATTCTGGTTTTTATTGTTGTTTCGGAGTCTACTTTTAGTATAGGGGAGATTGGTGAATGCACAACGTAATAGACTTCATCCATCAACTGTAGAAGCTTTGGCATGTTGTCAAAATTGGTTACGAGCCGAAGAAGGTACAAACATATTTATCGTGTAATTTTAATTATTTTACTTATATTTTTTTCATTATTTCTTATTAAATTTTATTTTCATTTACGATGTTTAAGAATCAAATTCAAATGAATGGAACTTTTATGAAGATGATGAAATCGAACAAGATGAGATAACTGTAAGTAATAATTTCATATTTGTTACTTTTATTATAATCTTATTTTTAAATATTAATTTATAATTTTATTTTATAGGATTTTAGTGGTTAGCTAAGATTGAAGAATGTAAACTTGTGAAGCCGATGATAATGAAGGATTTTTTCATTGGACATCTATATTTATGTATCTTTTTATTATAATTATGTTTGAACTTTGAACTTATTTAAGTATAGTATGAGTTTATAATTTTAATTGTGAACATGTATTTTAATTATGGATTGGAGTCTGGAGATGTATGTTGCATGTTGTTTTTCTTTAGGGGATTGTTTTCTGAATTGAATTTTACTTCATCCTTTTGCATCTTTAGCCTCTGAATTGAACATATTTAAGCTTTATTTTGTTGGATATTTTGTTTGTGTTGCATACTGCTTTTATTGTAATATGTTTATTTCTGTTTTTATTAATTAATTTTACACTCTACTTTTTCCAGTTTATTTGTAAAAGAGTTCGATTCTGTATTATAATTTATTTGATTTCTTGTGTTTTCATTTTATAATTATATTTTATTAAATGAAAAATTAAATCATGTTGGGTCGGGTTTTTAAGTTATATATCGGATCGGGTGAAATCGTGTTTCATGCAGGTCGGGTCAGATTTCAGGTGGATTTATCATTGTTCTCGGGTCGGGTCAACAAAAAATCTAACTCATGCCCATCCCTAATCATGAGAGGTTAAAACACTTTATAATAACACAAAACAATAATCATATAACATAAATTTAAATTCTGTCAAAAACAATTTTTCAACTATATACATTCCCCAAATAAAATTACAGAACAACCCAATGCGGTCCACATTAATCTTCAAACTTGGCCATTTTTTCTGGTTGCATCTTCAAATGTGGACCAATGTGGTCTTTTTCAAAAACGTTGGATTCTTTTTCAAAAGTACAATAACCTTGATGTCTTTTTGCTCTTCCTTTTCTAACTTGGCCTCTTTAGTCCACATTACTCTTCGAACTTGGCCATTTTTTTCTAATATAGTCCCTCAACTTTAATTCTATCTTATCTTAGTCTATATCTAAATCCAAGTTCAGGGACCGAGTTAGGAATTGTTACAAGTTACAAGTTACAAGTTTCAAGAATAATGTGGACCCAAAAAATTGGGGATCAACATGGGTAAAATTGCCAAGCTGAAGGACTAGAGTACCAAAAAAAAGTCGAGCGGTTAGTGCCTCCTAAAATCCACATAATAAAAGGCATAAAACCAAGTCCCATGCTCTTTATCAAAGGAAAGGGACAACATGCCATAAAAATTCACACAAAAGGCAGGGAGAGGACCATAACCAATACATGGTAGCATCTTCTTTTGGTTGTCCACCATAAAAGTAAATTTTTAAATGAAAGTGATCCTGAAAACCCTAGCAAGACATATTCCGTTTGCTCGTGTTAAACACGAGTCGCCGTCACATATTCGGACATGGATACGAAAGTATGTTACTTTAAATACAATAAAAAAGTTACTAAAAATATGGAACATACTCATAACGGACGCATATCGTATCTGATATTGCACCTCCGAATCTGAGTAACATAAGAATAGCCACTGAGAACGAATATGTGAAGAACACAATTAGAATGGTGATTGATGCAGCATGGTAACAATTTTCCGTATATGACACAATATGAACGAGAACAGAGAGATGTTGAATGCGTTCATGGAAAGCTTATCCGCAAAAGCAAAAAGGTTACCGAAAGAGAGATTCATCTAATGTTTCACACTTAAAACTTGAACAGAAACTCCTTAAAATCTATGAGAAAAACGATCCCGGATAATATGAAGAAAACGTAGGGACAAGAAGAAGCAACCCAGCCAGGCATTCTGGCAGCTGAAAGAGTTATATAAAGAAAAACCGGAGAAAATATTAATAACCTATTGTTTGATGTGCCACTACCAGTACAGTTTTTCGGGGATGCATGGTGTATTAATCGGAACCAATCTTCCGGAGTGTATATCCCGCAATCTGATTGTACACCTCACTCAAATGTCAAGAAAGGAACCTAAAACATTCGCTACCAAAATAAAATAGAACAAAAAAATCAAATCGAATCGGATCTCAAACCTTACAGAAAATCCCTTGTAAACTGCTCGCTTCGAATGTATTATCAAATCAATAACCCTCGTTAGTGCTATACGATCAATTTCCTTGTAAGCTGACATAGTAATGAAGCCTGTTTTCACAAATTCATTCACCCTACATTATTACTTCTGATATCCGAATATCAGATCTCCTAGGCAGCAATTCCTGCATATGAAACAAACAAATAGGCGAATTAACGAAAAGGAAGCAAGCTGGCATTCCCCTCTCAAGGTCTAACATATCAGCATATAAAATGCTCGTATTATTGAAGTTCTGGTCCACATATAAAGTCAAATTTTAAAGTTGAAGTTCCCAACTGATTTCTTTCGAATTATTAATGACATTATCAAGTTCAAAGGGGTGCCAAAAGAAGCAAATTCTGTCACTGTAGGTTAGATGAAGTGAAACCGATGGATTCTGTCATGGTAACACAAGAATAGTACATCTAGTTGGCTTTACTTGGGGGAAAATGAAATCAGACATGAAAAATGACTAAAGATGATCTTCGGAGTACTTTCGAATCAAATAGGCAAAACACGTAGTATCTCCATCTTGAAAGTAAAACAAATTTGAAGAAGAAGAAAAGGGTATGAGCTCCGTTATAAATTCCGGACTCTATGATGTTCAAACATATACTAATGACTTCATCTTTATCCTCTACGACTTGATCTGCTAATCAGATGCCAGAAAAAAGTTTTAAAAAGGCTAATAGGGTTTAGGGCTGAAAGTAATTGTTTCCATCCCGCTGAATCTAGAGTAGTCGTGACCTAAATTCATAAGCTATTTCTAAAGGGTCCACTTCATGAAACTAAAGAGAATATTACCTCTATCAGTCTGTAATAGCAACACTGAAACTTCCAACATAATCCTCGGGTGTTCTTGCAGCAACTTCTGAGGACATATTGCCAAGCCCATACCCAAATGAGCCAGAACCATCCAAGTCAGGAGTTGCAGACCGCCAAGTTGGGTCGCCATAAACTGAACCACCAGGGTAAAGATACCCATAGGGCCCCTCAAAATTACCAGTCGGTCCAGCAAATGATGATATCGGAGCTGCAACAGTTCCACTGTTTCTTCCATATCCTGCCCTTGCCAAACCAATGCTATCATAGGTACTCACATAACCAGAATTCCCACCGGTGTAACCAGAAGCATCACCTCCACTTTGCTTAGGCAGAGAAGGACTCCAATTAGCCCTGCTATTTCCCAAAGAACCAAAATTCCCACCTGCAGGCCCCAAGTAACCACCAGGAACAGAAACATTTGTGGGATTGCTAAGGCTTCCATTTCCCCAGACATTACGAGTAGGAGAGCTCAAATTAGAATAATTTCTTCCACTCCCGACACCATAACCAATAGGAGTGTTATACCTGTTTGGATTCCCACTATAATAGGGGCTAATTATCCGCCCACACCCCAGACTGTTGCCAAAGTTGGAACTCGCACCATAGCTTGGGTTCATTTCTTGTTCCATATTCATACCAATTCCATATCCGGTAGTGTTAAACAGAGGAAACCCTATTCGGCCACTAGTAAGAGGATTAAACCGACAATCCATCCTGACTCCGAAGCCTCCTAGAGGACTTAGATTATATCCCTGAGAAAAACTATTGAGGATGTTGGCAGCCCTATTCAAACCATAATTATATCCTAAAACGGGGCTACGGCTGGGGCCTGGAGATAGTTCTTTAGGGACTGCCCTCTTGACCTCAACCAGTTTCCCATTGAGTTCATGAAATTTTTTATGAAGGACTTTGTCTACTGCTTCCTCTGAATCATAAGTGATGAAGCCGAACCCTCTCGGCCTTTGCGTGATATGATCATACATCACTACAACATCGGTAATTGTACCAAACTGATCAAAGTAGTTCTTGAAGTCGCTCTCCGTGACTGTAGATGCTAAACCTCCCACGAAAATCTTTTTTGTGCGATCAGGAGCAGGAGATCTAGTGATGGCACCAATGTTCTTGTTTAAATTGTTTTGGTCATCCCTAGGGACAGCCTTCTTTGCCTCAACCTGAAAATTGATGAGCCAGAAAGTTTAATCAAACAATTGCATAGTATTTTCTTTCCCTACCTAACAATTAGATAGAAATCTACTTAAACAAAAAACATATCAAATCAATGCCTGGAAATAGATGAAATACATTACTTTTTGACCCTATAAAAGCAGAAAAATGTCAAAATTTTAAGTCACTATGATTATCACAAACCTCAAACTAATTAAAAAAAATAACATCCTTCCCTCTAGACATTTCATTGCAGTGTTTAGATGGAAACCAATATACACAATCATAATCAAGGCTCTCACCGTACGACCATCGATCATATGCTTATCCATAATCACCCTCTCAGCAACAGCAGGGTCAGCAAAGACAACAAAACCGAAGCCACGGGCACGACCGGTGACAAGATCTCTCATTATCATCGCCTCCACCACTTCACCATACTTCCCGAAATACTCCTTGAGACAATCCTCATCGGTGTCCCAAGATATCCCACCGATGAAGAGTTTACCAAGATCTGATTCCATCTAATCTGCAATCATCAATCACCATTTTTAAATCTAAAAACCTAACTTTTCTCGGCACAATCGGATTCAAATGCAATCGGAACTCAAACAACAACAATTCAGTAAATCAAATTCTTGCACAACTTAAAAAATCAAAACATGAATCATCAAATCATCACCAGCAGCTAAAAACGATCCATCAACAGATCAAAATGCGAACAATGACAACCATCAATCATGAATATCAAAAGAAACAACGGACCTTTCTATATGAATTATAGACAGAATCCGATCAAAGACAAACTGGGTAGCTGTCAAATCCAATCTAGGATCATCTGAAAAAACTTCATGCACCAATCAGAAAATAACCCAAAATCCCTGCAAATGAAAAACATACAAAATTGAGATCAAATTATGTGAATCGAGACAAAGGAACAAGTGTAGAACAAGATCACGAAACAGAGAAGAGAGACAATAAAATTTACCATATCGGAAACAACCCAGATTATAAAATGGAAAATAAATCAAGATGTTAGATGAAAAATGATGACAATGGAAACAGAGGATAAGCTTAGTTCATTTCCTTTTTTATTTAAAAAGATTTGTTCTATCTTTACGCTCTCTTTACTGTCTTCTATATCTTTAATTACATTAGAAGAAACGGAATTTTGAGGAGAAATCTATACAAAAGATAGATTATATATATATATTGGAGATAGAAATTGGGATCGAAGAATTAAAATGTTGGGTAAGGTATACAAACTATGGGATTATACGATATTGTTTTATATCATTATTAAAAGTCATAAAATGATCATTTGGTTAGAATATTATTTTATTAAATATCTCGATTATTAAAAGTTATAAAATGATTATCCAATTATCATTAAGTTCCAACTCGTCTTTTTTCGTTTAGAAAATTGATGGTTTTTAAAGTTGGACGTTAACATGATGATCGAGATATGATAGTCGTTTGAAATTTTGTGATCATATTTTATCATATCACATTTAGCAAGTTAACGTTTAACTCAAAATACGGTCAATATTTTAAGGGAAAATGATCAGTTTGGACCGCAATGAAAAGTCAGGTGACCATTTTGTAGTTTTTAATAGTTGAGGGACTCAACAAAGTAACATTCTATAATCAAAGGAGCATCTTTAACTTTTAATAGTTGAAGGACTTAATAAAACAGTACTTGGAGGACCATTGTATAATATAAGATATTGTTTTATTAAGTCTCTCGACTATTAAAAGTTATAAAATAATTCTCTCACTATAGAGTATTGCTTTGTTGAGTCCTTTGACTATTAAAAGTTACAAAATGATCACTCGACTATTCATTATATTCCATACTTGTCATTTTCTGTTGAAAATCTGATGATGTTTTGAGTTGAATGTTAACTTGTTGATCGTGATATGATAAAATATGATCATAAAATCTCAAATAACTATCATATTTCAATAATTATGTTAACGTCTAACTTAGACGACTATCGATTTTTTACAAAAAAATATGAGTTTTGAACATAATAAAAAGTCGAGCGACCATTTTGTAACTTTTAATAATTGATGGACTCAACAAAACAACGCTCTATTATCAGATGAGCATTTCCTAACTTTTAATAATCATGAAAATTAGCAAAGTATTATCTAATAGTCAGGGATCATTTGTATATTTTGTCCTATTTTTTTATTGAAACAATTTTACATCAAATATGTTTAATTTAAATTTTGTTGTATATGAAGAACGAGTGATGGAACTGACATTACAATTTAAATTTAGTTTTGAATATAAAAATCATGAATTTTATGTTAATTTATTAATTGATGATATGTGTTGTTACGATTCAATATTTTTATTTTCTCAAGAATGTTTATTGAACTTTTATATTTGACACATATTTAAATCAATTGGTTTAATGAAATAAAATATTAGATTTTTTAAGGTTTAGGGTTCAAATATTAATATTTACGAAAGGAGTAAATTAGGTTAGAATAATGACCCTCGTCTCTGTAATATATAATTTAAATTAGTTGATTAATAAATTAAATAGAGGTGGTTATACCAAAAAAGCCTTTCTAAAACTTGAGTATATTTTATTGTATACATGTTGACTCAAGTTGACTCATGTCAGCTCGATCAAACCAAGTCAAACAAGTTAGGTCGGTCAAATTAAAGAAACTCACATAAAATTGAAAAAAAAAATTCAAGTTGTAAAATAAAACACGTAATTTTGAATAACTCAAAATTTAGGTATTAAAATACACCAAAATTGATAGTTGTACTGAACGAATTAAGTTTTTAAATATGGGGTACTCAAATGAAAAAATTAAACGTTAATTATGATTTTGAAAAAAAATAAAAGTTTAGGTACTAAAGAGGATAAAATCAATAGTTTAGGTACTAAATATGTAGTTTACCCTTTTATTTATTTACTCCTTACACGAAATAAAAGGGTCAACTTAAACATAAGACCTTAAACTTTTAAGACTTCCCAAAATAAACATCTCGTTACTTACAAATAAGTCCCCAAATTTCTTTCAATTAAGCCATTATATTTATCTCCCTTCAATTTAAATCCTCCAAACTTCATATTTGATTCAATTTAATCCTATTATTTTTACATATTTTCAATTGGGTCCCAAATTTCACAATTATAATTTATAGGCCAAATTTTGAAACTTTACAGTATCATAATAATACGCGAATTATTACTTCAGATGTCACATTAAACATATTGTGAAAGTACATGTACCAAATAAAATTTCAAAAGTATAAAAGTATTGGGCATTTTTCTAAACTATAAATATCATAACAAATATTTTATCAAAATATATATTCTACAATGCACATTTTAAAAGTAAAAGGGTCGCATTATATATTTTTAACAAAGTAATTTTTTTACCTTTTTACTATAGGAGCTTCTTTTTTTTTTTTTTTGCTAAAGTACACAAATGATATTTGACTATAAAGTGTTGTTTTATTAAATTTTTTGGCTATTAAAAGTTATAAAGCGGTCCCTTGATTATATGGTATTTTTTGTTGAGTTATGTGACTATTAAAAGTTACAAAATGGTCACACGACTATTCATATATTCAAACTCATCATTTTATGTTAAAAAGTGTCGGTCATCTGAGTTGGACATTACCTTGTTGAATGAGATACAATAAACTCATATTTAATGATGTCTATCGGAATAATCATTGTTTTCAAGCATTGACTCGACAACATAATATGTCAAGCACTAGCTCGGACAGACGGTCCACAAAATATAACCCAAACGATTCTAAGATTGTATCTCAGTCAATAGGTTAACTTTCAACTCAGACGACTGTCAAATTTTTAATGAAAAAATATAAGTTTGGAACATATAAATAGTCAGGTAACTATTTTATAACTTTTAATAGTCGAGGGACTAAAAAAATAATGCCATATACTTTAGGGATCATTTTATAACTTTTAATAGTTAGTATACTCAATAAAGTAATAGTCTATAATCGAGTGATTTATTTATACACTTTACCCTTTTATTTTAGTTTCCTGACGTGGCTAATTATCGACTCGACTCGAGTTCTTAACAAGCCGAAACGAGCTACTTGATATTCGACTCGAAAAGCTCATAAACAGCTCAAAAATATAATATATTAAGATTTTATTTTTAAAAAATATAAATTATTAATAATATTAACATTTATGTATTGATTTTTTTAAAAATACAGTAAGATTTTCATGTATTTAAGGTTCAGGTTCGAGTTTGAGTTTAAGGCTTCAATCGAGTTAAGTTTAAGAATTTTTTTTTTCATTTCGAGCTGCTCACGAGCTTCAATTCAGAATTTCAAGTTCGAGTCGAGTTTAAAAATTTTAAGCTCACGAGTTTTCGAGTCGAATTTCATTTCAGAGTTTTCGAGTCGAATCGAGCTCAGTAATACTCGAGCTCGACTCGACTCGTTTACACCCCTAAATTTCCCTTACCACAAAGCCTCCACCTCACCATATAAATCTCCCATAAATTCACATTAAAAGAAAGGATAAATACGCGTTTAATATCTAAACTATTAGTTTTTATCCATTTTAACACCTAAACCTTTGATTTTTATAAAATCATTATCCAACGTTTAATTTTTATTTTATTTTAATAATTCACTGTTAAAAACTTAACAACACTATATTTGTTATAGATAAATTACATCATTCATCCATCAACTATCTTCTCACTCCTATTTCGTAATAAAGTTTACAAATTTTCAATTTAATTACTTAACTTTCAAGTCACTCTAATTTATTTTATTAATATTTTTTGTGACATGATATTTATTGTTAAAAAATATTCAACCCAGTTGACCCGACCCGTCAACCCAAACCTAAAAAAATGGGTAATTCTCTAGAAAAAAATCACCTGACTAGGTCGGGTAATAGACCCATAATTTTATCAGGTAATTAGGCTGAGTCTAGACCGAAATTTTTATAACCTGGTACCAGACCCGACTCAGTAGTTTTAATATATATATATATATATATATATATAATTATCTTAATTTATATTTTTATTTTAGGTTGTTAATATTTTAACTTAAAATTAAATTTAAATTCTTAAATTTTTCTTAGGTTTTTATTATTTATTCAAAATTTTCAAAAATTTTTTATTACTTTGTCAATATGAGGTTCGAAATAAAAAATTATTATCAATATTAATATTTTTAATATTTTCTTTCAAAAATAAACTTTAATATATATATCTATATATTTAAATATTTATCCTTAAAGCTAACTTCAAATCACTAATTTTTGTGTATGGATTGTGTATTTTAAACTTTTAAATTTGTATGTATTACGTATGTGATTTTTTTTTTAAAAAATGAAATAAAAAATATATGAACCGGTTACTCGTGACCCGAAAATACGAGTACCCCGATTTTTCGGCTACCCGACTATCAGGTACCTGGATTTAACGGGCCGGGTCACATGCCAACAAATATACTACCCAAAGAACTGGGTACCTGATACTTCAGGTATCTCGTTTCGAACACCCTAAGTGCAAATCACATGATAAGTTTTTAACGAAGAGATATTAAAACAAAATAAAAATTAAATATTATGTATGCTTTTAAAAATATTAAAAGTTTAGATACCAAAATGGATAAAAAAAATAATAATTTATGTACTAAACACATAATTTAGCCGGAGAGAAAATCCCCAATTGGCCATATCCGGTCCGATCCGAGTAAGCCACCCGGTTCGATTTAAATCACAAAAATCCCCCATTTTTTTTCGACGCTCTCAAAATCTCTTTGTTTCAATCCTGACTCCGATCCCTTCCTTCCTTTCACAAAGTAAAGATTTTTAATTTAAAAATTTCTCTCTCTTTTTCCCACAATTTACCCGCCAAAATGCCCCCCTTTGATTTTATTTTATTTTAATTTGTGTCAGTTCCACAGCTCCCTTGATTGCCCATTCGGCCTTTCTCTCTGGTTTCGGTCTCTCTCGCGAGTCTACAGCATTGGGTTTCGATTAATATTTGTTTACAATGGATCCCGAGGTGGCTGTTGACGGAAACGCGGCGTTTGAGCCTTCTCCGACGGCGGGGGAGAAACGGGGGATCGAGAACGGGGACGTTTCAGGTTCGAAGAAGCGGCACTGCCACGGGGGATTAAAGAGGGTGACCGAGATCGTGCTGGTGCTGTCGACGATGGGGAAGATGAGGGGAGGAGGTAGGGATCCTACAGCGGCTGAGATGGCGTTGATGTTGGAGGCGCGTGAGACGTTGGCGCAGATGTGCGGGGAAATGGCGCCCAAGGATATTGTTCGGAGGGAGGCGATAGGGAATGCGATTGAAGAGTTGGGGCTTAATTCCAAGCTCAGAGAGCAGAGATTAGGGTTTAGGGGTACGGGAATGTCGATTTCTCAGAAGGTCCTGCTTGCTAAAATGAAGGTAAAAAAGTTTTAAATTTAAGATATTTTTTGGCGATAAGTATATAGGGTGGACGTTAATTTTGTTCTTCTTTGTTGCAATTTGTATGAGTATCTGTCCTGGGATTAAGTTTTTCTTGTCATTAGGAAAGTTGAACATCTCAATTTATCCGATAATTCGATGTTTTCTCTGTGTCTTAAAAGTAAGTTCTTGAGGATTAATGGTTTTGTGTGAAGCTTTGAAAAGTTTAATCTTGTTTAAATTGCTCAATGGAAGTAGATATATACATGAATTTTAGTAACTATTGGCATCCTTTAGTCGTTTTTCATCGGATATTGTTTTCGGCATAGTTGTTACTTTCTAGGTTCATGGGCGTGGCTTAAAGTGGTTGCTAAGTATAGATTGAAAGCTGCATTTGATTCTTCATATATTTGGAGGATCATTCTCCTATGCCTATGCCAAACATTTGTCGAACATGGTACTTTGAAGAAAATTAAGTGTTGGTGTAACATTATATTTTGTATAAGTATTTGTCCTGGGATTAAGTTTTTCTTGTAAACAGGAAAGTTGAACGTCTCAATCTATCCGATTAATCGATGCTTTCTTGGTCTTAAAAGTGAATTCTTGAGGATTAATGGTTTTGTGTGAATCTTTGAAAAGTTTAATCTTGTTTAAATTGCTCATAGTAAGTAGATATATACATGGATTTTACTAACTATTGGCATCTTTTAGTCGTTTTTTGTCGGATGTTGTTTTTGGCATAGTTGTTACTTTCTAGGTTAATGGACATGACTTAAAGTGGTTGCCTATACCGAACATTTCTCGAACACGGTACTTCGAAGAAAATCAAGTGTTGGTGTAAAATTATATTGAGCTTCTTGAACAGCTTGATGGCGTTTTTTTTTTTTGCAAGAATGCTATATTAATTATGCTATTTGAAGGACACTTTCTTTGCTTCTTAAATTTTGTAGCATTCTTATGATGTTTAAAAATGCAATATTGGATTTCGGTTTGTGAATGCTTCTTTCCATGATTTATGTGCTTGCCAACTTCTTAGCTGTTTATGCGGATGTAGCTCGATTTAATCTAAAGAATATTTTTTGTTAAATGATGGAAAAGTTCATATATTTGAATTTGAGTGTTCGATTACCTTAATGCTTTTCAGATGGAAGAACCGAAGAAATTCACTACTCCTGCTACATATGTACCTCAGTCGGTGCAAACTAATGTTGGTGGATCAGCTGAAAACCGTGGAGCTACACACACAGTTCGCGTTTTACCATCAGATCAACCAATTCATGCGACTGTATCTTCTGTTACAGCAGCAGGTTCAACTCCATTACAGCATCAATTGCCCACCGGCGACATAAAAATGGCTACAATGTCCACCGGGGTACCAAGTGGCCATCTAGGAAATTTGTCTTCGTTTGCGTATCCCAGGGTCGAGAGACCACAAATTAAGTTGGATGGAGTATCAAACGTGGCTTCTTACGTTTCCCATGTTCCAGGTAATTCTCTCTTCAGCCGGGTCTTCGTCTCGTGGTAGCAGAAGAACTGATGGGCCTGTTTGCGTATTATTTGGGAGATATTAGATGATCAATGCTATAGTCTAGCAAATTATAATACTGTGGTTTGTTTACCCAAAATTTTGCTCCTATATCGGTAGTTCGGTACTATTCTATCATTTAGTTGGTTCTGTTGAACATTTAAGCGTCTTTGTCTGTGCATCACCTCCAGATTCATGTTAATTTTGTCTGTTTCAGCTAATTCTTCAGCAAGCCATTCACTCACGAATGCTCCCGCTTGGTCTATGCAAGCTCAACCTGCAGCATTAGCTAAATCTGGGCAAGAGAACAAGGTTTTTACTCATAATCCGACCAAGGTTGAAGGAAGTACTGGTTCAACTATGGCACAGATGACTCCTCAAGCAGTGAGAGATCAAACCTTTAGACCATTCATCACTCAAACTGCAACCGGAACTTTTCGAAGTGTGCACCAGCCAGTTCAAGGTGTGAACTTTACGCAAGCTCCTCCGTTTACTAATAATCACAGTGAAATCGCTCGAATTGTTCAAAAGTTGTTACAACCTAAGCTTCCCGCAAACCCTACTTGGACTCCTCCTTCTAGAGAGTATACGAATAAGGCTGTGACTTGCCAAACGTGCAAACTTACCATTAATGAAGTCGAAAACGTGCTGCTTTGTGATGCATGTGAGAAAGGATTTCACTTGAAATGTTTGCAGCCGAAGGGAATACCTAGAGGTGAGTGGCACTGTGCTAGATGCTTGTCATTTTGCAACGGGAAGCCTTTGCCCCTGAAATACGGTCGTGTCATGAGAAGTATCAATGTACCCAAAGTGCCTTCTAGCTCAGCTGAAGTTCTGTCATCTTCAGAGACGAAAGTGGAAAATCTGGGTCCATTGATCAATCATGAGAAGGTAACTGAAAACGGAAGCTCAGCGTTGCAGACTCCTGCTGTGTCCACTACGGTTGACAGCAACTATGTTGAGTCAGCATCAGGTTCTAAGGTTCCAAAAGCGAACTCAACAAAACCTTCGGAGGCTGTATGTGATACTCCTGTTGGCATGGTAACTCAAAAAGCCGAAGAACCTTCTCAAATGACTGAATCATCTAAGCATGAAGAAAGAAATGGCCCTACAACATCACATACTGTGGATACATCATCTAACACTATCAACGACAAGGCAGAACATTCACAGCCTTCACATATCAATCAAGATATTCCAACAGAGAAGCAAAACAGTGCCGAAATTCCTTCAAATGATTGCCATGGTGAAAGTTCTGGAGTTAAAAAATTGGAGAAAGGTTCAGAAGGAGATATTGACTTCATTAAACAGATTGATCAAACCGAACAAGATGCTGCAGCTGCACAAGTGAATCCTACTGCAAATTACGAAGCTAATACTGAGATTTCAAGGCATCCGGAGTTTTCTTCTGATGGTTTGCGTGCTGTTGAATGGGCTGGTGACGTACTTCAAGTTGTGGATGAGAAAAAGTTTTACCAGTCTTGTTGCATTGACGGCGTAACATATAAAGTTCATGATCATGCTCTTGTTCATTTTGGCCAGGATAAACTGATACCGTCTAAGCTTCAGGTAAGCATGTTCAAAAGAATTTATACGAGGGGACTACCGGTTCCAATGTTCCGTACGGACCAACTTCAAAATTTTGGATCTTCATTGCAGGCAATGTGGGAGGATGCTAAAACTGGGATGAAGTGGGTGGTCGTCAAAAGATGCTACTGTCCTAGTGATTTGCCGGAGGGTGTCGCCCATCCATGCGCTCCTGAAACCAGTGAGGTAATCCTTCATGCATGTTTAAGTTACATGCTGTGTTTCATAGTAGCAAATAATATCTGATGATTTGTCGATCGTTCCTTCTATTCGTTGTAGGTATATGAATCTAATAACGATAGCACTGTAATGGCAAGCTCGATTCAATGCCCGTGTGAAGTTCTTCCTGCTACCAAATTCAAAGAAGAGGGCAAAGTCGGTCGGGAATTGAAGCAAATGAAGGATTAAGGGCAATTTTCTTATGCAAGTATGTGTGTTCGTTCGGCAGCATGTGCAAAACACACTACGTTCCGGAATTTGACTAACGCTGCAACCATTCATTCTGCAGATGGCTTTACGATGAATTCCAAGGAGGCTTTCAGACGATATCGAGTTAAATTCAGTTATGCATCTCGTTACTTAGCATGACATGATTTGTTGACGTAGCGAATTATATCGGCTACTCGGATCAGGTTAACATAGTAACGTATCGATTTTGTTTGTGGTTTTCCGGAATCGTAACCGTTTATGTCGAACACAGGTATAAAAGGTTTGCAGCCCATCTGAGCATCATTGCTTGCTATTTGCTTTTATCATATGTAGTCGTAGTCCCAGAGATAGATGTGTGTACCCGATACTTTTGATTAGCAGAAATAAGCGTATAAACTATACTCAAAATTGATTTTTAGTGTCGAAAGAATTTTTCGTTAAAAATAGATGTCAAACGAGTTTTTTGTAACACTTTTAGATGCCTATTGTTAAAAAATTGTTAAGTAACACGTGTAACCTTAAAAAAGTATAACAGAAAAAATATTAGGTACCTATTTTTAACAAAAATTCTTTAAATACCATAAATCAATTTTGAGTATAGTTTAAGCATTTATTTTTATATTAAACATAGTAATTTCTTCATTTCAGCTATAATTTTTAGCTTTTAAAACATTTTCAACCTTTACTTTTATATGAACTCATTTTTGGAAAAGGAAAATGATATTATTAAAGGGTAAATTACATCACAAGTCACTCAAATATTAGATGATTACAAATGAGTTACTAAATTTTAATAGGTTACAAACAAGCCATTTTTGGAGTATTAATTGATTAATTTGTTTATAACTTTTTGAAATTTAGTGACATTTATAATTTTGTTGATAATTGAGTGACCCTATGGTGTAATTTACTTTACTACAATTAATTGTAACTCTTAAATTAAATCAAACAGGTAGTTTGTGCCTAGCTTTGTGCAGGAGTTATTTTGAATTTGGCTGGTTTGGTTCAACTTTTATTCAAATTAAATAATAGAACATTTTTATCCTAAGAAAAATCTAACGTGACACGTTCAATTAGGGGTGGAAAAACTCTGCTCAATTTTAAAAAATTAGATTTCAATTAACTTCGAATTTTAATTTTAAAAACTCAACTTGAATAAATTTTAAGTTCAAATCGAGTTGTAAAATACAATTTGAATAACTCAAAATTTCTAGTAATTAGTAGATCAAGTTTGAGTCGAAGTCTGAATCGATTCATTCGACTTTTGTATGGTAAATGTAAATTATATATATATATACTGTATATGGTTATAATATTGCAAATATTTATAATTAAATTTAAATAGAAACTCTTCTTTTCAAACAAACTCCAAAGTTTAAATTGACGGTTAAAAAAATCAATTTTTTAATTAATGAAACGATCTTCGATTAATCTTAACGGTATGAAGATTCCATTTAACTATAAGATTAATATAGTTCATTTCTAGATGATTTCACGATTAAAAATGAGATTTCAAAAAAAAAATTGTCTTTTAGCTTCAATTATAGTTCGAGGAGATTAGAAGATTTTTTTTGATAAATTTAAATTAAAGAACATAAAAAGAAGAAGAAGAGTAATTCAATTATCTTTTTGACTGGAGAAACCACTTAACGATGAAAGGGATAACAATTTTACTAAAAATTGATGGGTTTTGACTTGATCCAGCCCGATAGGGTTGGTTTTTTTTAAATTAAGTTCAGATTGGATTTAAGTAAAGTTTTACATAAGTTTAAGTCGGGTCAGGTTAGGTTTGAGTGGAGGGTGAAAAACCTTCGATCCGATCGACTAGGGAAAAATAGAGTAATAATTTATCTATCTAGTAATTTAAATATATATTTATTAACAACTGCAACTCTAATAAAATATCTAGTTTTAGTAATTAAAGCAAGGGTAAATTATAAATTTAATAATTGAATTTTACTCTCTCTCTTAGTCCATTCAATGTATTTTAAATCTTTTTAACTTGCTCACTGACCTTAATACATTGAGTTTTTTTTTCGTCAGTCATTTTCTCATTAATGACATTATGATGTGACTTTTTTCTTTTATTTTTATTTTTGAACAAAAAAATTTAATGCTCCGATATAAATACGATAAATATATATTTAAATTACTAGATAGATAAATAGAAATCACCGACATAATTATACATGCCACTATAAGTCAAAGGAAACATCATAGATGTCTTACTGATCTGATGATATATATGTCTTTTCCAAAAGATGCTCCGATAGCTCCTTACTGATTGTATTTATCCTTACTAGAACCTACGCATGAAAATCATCATGCGCTAAATATAACTTAGTGAGGCAATAATACTAAAGGTGAGAATAATTAAATAAAATATCAAAATATATAAAATCATTAAAATAAAACAGACTGAATTTCTTCAGAACATTCAAACCAGATATCTCATGTTGAACTTTATCATAAACCTGAAAAGAATCATCTGATAATTTTCACAAAATCATAATAAATCAGATCAGACAGAAAAAAATCAGTCCATATTCTTTTGTAGTCAAACACTTTTCAGAACTTTCTTATTTCATTTTTATAGCCCAAAGTATATTTTAAGAGAATATAAGATACGTGAGTCAGACGAGTGTGCACAATACAGATATCATATCATCAGTCGGAACAGATAAACACACACAATGCTATCACATCGGAAATAACAATATGCACACCAAGTGCATTCAGATCAGACTATATATATATATACTAGTGTACACTCCGGTACATCACATTATATCAAAATCAGAACAGATAATCACTCCACCTCATGGCATGTCAATTGTACCTATGACTCTCCATATAACATACAGTTGGCTTTTTAGTCATTTCGTAATCATTTGATAAAAAAATCATATCATAAACATAAATATATTTAATTCACATTCGTAAAATATGACATGGGCAGTTCATACCCAAAATTATTCATAAAACTTATTAACAATATTACGGATATACTTCCATAGTCAAAACATAATTCATATATTTGAAATAAATAATGTGAGGTTGACTTATCGCAAGTCATCATCGATCAAAATAATTAAATAAATAAACTGCACTCACCTTTGCCTCACTACAGAACTTGTATATGATAATACTAGTCACAAGCTTTGTCCTTTCCTTTCAGATCGTTCGGATTGCTAGTTTTATTGTAATCTGACAATACCAAATTATAACCCAAAATATTTAAACTACATATTAGTATCATTCTAACATAAACTCATTTTGACATTTGAAAATCTATAAAATAAAATCGATAACTAAATCGATATCAACCTAACTCATAACTCCATTATAATTTCAAACCACATATTTTAAATTCTTTCTAAAATTCAACTCAACTATAATGGTCATTCGCCATTATGATAATTGTATATTAATTACTAAAATTTCAATACTTGAATAAAATACCCAAATAATACTTCTTCATTTAAGAACTTGTAAACAAGTCCTCAAAGTTTTGGAACCTTTCGAATTCCACCATCTAACCATTAAAATGAATTCCTTTAGAATTCTTCTCAACATTTCCAATTTGTTCAAAATGGTCTCTTGCCATTTAACTTCAATTCAAAGCATCCAAAAATATACTCAACATTTAAACATTACTCTTCATCTTCTAATCCATTTCAACTTAAATTCTAAAAAAATTCATATTCAAACAACTTGTACTATCTTTAAAGAATCAATATTCTATATTGATATACACACTGGAATTTAATTATGTTTATTCCATTGAAAAAAGACTCGAATACGAATCTATCTATATAAATAACTATTTCTAATTCATTCTGTACAATTTATGGTGAATTTTCAAAGTTGACTGACATAACCTGTTTTGTGCAGAATTTGCTGCCCGTTTTCTGACATTTCCTCGATTAAAAAATCATATCTTTTTTTATACACCTTAAAATTGATCCTGTTTGTTTTAAACAAAACTAGATTTATATAAGAACATAATATATAAAAATCACATCCAAATAATTTTTATAGAATTTCTGGTGAGTTTTCAAACTCACTGCCAAATTCAAAATCTAAACTGTTTTTCATTAACTTCATCCTTAAATTCTTCATCAATTCTTACAACCAATTCTTTAAAATCACTTAACTCTTCATAATCCCTAAAATACAAAAAATCAACATCCCCTTCATCAACTCAAGATGAATTTAAACAAAAACCATAACAATATTTATGTCAAATGAAAGAAGATTTCATGTAGATGACTTATCCTTCATGTTCAAACCTTAATTCCTAACATAAATGGATCAAAAAAAAAAAAAAAAACGTTCTCTTACCTTGAAACATAACCCACGGCTGGAAGAAGAAAGCATGAAGGAACTTCTTGAATTTTCTATGCATATAATAACCTTTACACTTGTATTTAAAAGATTAAAAATGAATTAAAAATTCATTTCTTGCAAAATGACCAAATTGCCTTTAATGAATCCTTTTATTTTCATCCATGCCATTTTTTTCTCTAATTTAATATTATTAAAACAACTATAAAAGTCTCATCTCTCAATTGTTCATTTTGACCCTTCAATTTTTCAAAATTTCATTTTAGTCACTAAATTTTTACTGTTCGACCGAATCTGAAAAATTACACTGTTCTGAGCAAAATTTCTCTGATATAAAATATGAAAATAATATTTCCAATCATTTTCTAACATCGTTCCAATTTTCATAAAATTTCGGCCCGATCAGATTATTTATCGAACTTTACTGATAAATAGCTTTTAACACAAATCTCGTACCAAAAATCTAATTCCCACAAAAATCCTTGTTTTAGGCCAAATTGTTCATTTACATGCTAAAATATATATAACTTTTAAAAATTACAAATTTCAGTCCCTATACTTTTCAAAGTTTATACTTTAGCCACTAAACTTTTAAAACTTACATTTTAGTCACTGGTCAAATTTTGGGGTATTACAATTCCTCCCCCCTTAAATAAAATTCGTCCTCGAATTTTTCATATGTATTTACCTACCTGAATTAAATAGATGAGGAAAATTTTTCTTCATGTCTTCTTCTCGTTCCCAAGTTGCTTCTTCAACTTTATGGTTCCGCCAAAGAACTTTTACTAATGGAATCATCTTATTTCTTAGTTCTTTGACTTCATGTGCTAAAATCTTTATTGGCTTCTCTTCGTATGATAAATCTGGTTGAATCTCAATTTTCTCCCGTGTAACTACATGTGAAGGATCTGATTGATATCTTCGAAGCATTGATACATGAAATAAATTATGAATCTTGTCCATCTCTGGAGGTAACGCCAACTGATAAGCTACTGGTCCAACTCTCTTTACAATCTCGTATGG